GTGTGCGTGCTGAATGTTAACTACAAAACTTACGATCTAATATCGTCGAACCTTATCTTCGTCATTTCGATGGCAATGCCAATCTCCCGAGACACTCTAGGGATAAATGCGGAAGCTGAATGCACTGACACCGTGTGTGCTGTAGATATTAGTGTATTTTTTGCAAGACTCTGAATGGTACTCTGATGTAAGTGAAATCAAAAAAGTGCCTTATAGTATAGAAAGGTCAGCCCCACTGAAAGAAAAAAAAAATCATGTGCTCCTCCTCACCTGCAAAGATGGTTGCCCGATCGTTATCACGACAGCACAGTATTGTCGTGTGTATTTCGCCTCAGATTTTTAACAAAACGAGACATTGTACTATTAAGAGCAACTTTTCCCACTGTTGCATGAGAGATACCTTAGTGGCCCCTAAGTTCGAAGATGCCTTTTTGCTCGCTCGAACATTTCAGATGCTCGTGCTGCCCTGTCCAACTGCTGAAATCGTTTACAGTACGTGCAGCTCCTGTGCGTACTATATAGAAACGATCGTGGCCGATTCTGTGAAGTAATAAAAACCACGTGACGTTATTCTGTGGGCTGTGCCTCCTTCTATCGCTTCTTGGTTGCATTATGCGCCTAACGAGAATGACGTAAGCAAGCCTGAATTATGTTTCGCTGTGTACAATGCACCTTCAGAAGTGTTGTGGCTCGGACGAGTTGGTAATCCATGAACTTAGCTTGTATTATCGGGGTTAATATAAAAAAAAAGATACAGACGTAAAGAAAGGTTAGCGCTAAACTTCTGACTGTTCGAACTTGAGCGCCTAGCTTTCTTGAAGTCTGCGTTTTTCTCATATGTACCGCGCCAATACAAGCCAAGTGAATTTCATGCACCTTCTTATACCACTGATGAAACCAGCTAAGAAAGGCGGCAGGTTGGAGCGTGAAACGAACGATTGCCGATTTTCTAATGAAAGCCGTAAAAACAGCATTTTGGGGCCTGTTGTAAATTTTTTTGCGGCGACTAGTGGAAGTACACCTGCAAAGTACCCACAATGCGAAAAGTGATATTGCGAAAAAGAAAAGTATTCACTAATACGTTACTGGTCATCCTTATTTATCAAGGGAGGTACTGACGTGTCTCGAAGAGATCATATGCACTTCATTTATGGTGTGGCTGCTGTCGATGAAGCCTTGTGCCTAAGCCTTTGTAAAAGATAGGAAGCTTCATTCACCTACTGATTATCCACTTCTAATTGTGGGCCCCCTGACGTTATTTTACTGTCGTACCTCGAGATATAACATTTGTTAGCGCGATGATCCCACCGACAGGAAGGTTGAAAACATATTACAGTGAAAGTTGATTATGCGATCACACAAAAGTGTCAGTGTTGTCCACCGCCGCCACCACCACCGGCGTGTGTGCAGCTATAACTTGAGTTAATAGAAAATAGAACGAAATAAAAAATAATCAGGACTGAACTTGTTTGGTACCTGGGCCCTCTCGGTGACAGCCAAATATTCTACTAAAGAACCTCACAAATTTTTGTTTTATCATAGCCATAGCTTTCTTCGAAACTCCTTCGTTAGAAGATCTTACACCAGCGTTTTTTCGGGGAGAAACCACGTTAACAATTCTACAATAGCAAGATTGAAAATTGAAAAAAAAAACATGAACTCACACAATGCAATTAGCGTAACGAATGGGTCCTTCAAGGCTCCCAAGAAAGGGCGAAGACATGATTCTTCGTCGTCATCAGCTACCGCACAAGATTATGGCACAGAGGGTACCCTAGCTGCAAGCATACTTGTATTAGCCCAAAGATAGTTTACTATGGGTTCTTTAAATGTTCTTGCAGCTTTCTCTGTGAATGCTGCGCGTTCCACGCAGACCTGGCAATTTATAACTCCGAATAATTTTTTTGCGTACTTCAGACCTGTCACCCTTGTCTATCCTATCTATCTATCTATCTATCTATCTATCTATCTATCTATCTATCTATCTATCTATCTATCTATCTATCTATCTATCTATCTATCTATCTATCTATCTATCTATCTATCTATCTATCTATCTATCTATCTATCTATCTATCTATCTATCTATCTATCTATCTATCTATCTATCTATCTATCTATCTATCTATCTATCTATCTATCTATCTATCTATCTATCTATCTATCTATCTATCTGTCTATCTATCTATTATCTATCTATCTATCTATCTATCCAGTGAGCCACCTGGTGCTTTCGTAATCAGTGATCACCTTGTCAACTTAAGGTAGAACAAAGTATAGTATGTGCAGCAGCAAGCACATGACCGAGTTAACTGGCGGAACATGGGAGAGGCCTTTGTCCTGCAGTGGACGTAGTCAGGCAGATGATGATTATGATGATTATAATGATGATGATGATGATTATGGAAAGGTAAAGAGGTTGAGCCATTGTGACTGTCTGGGCATGGCACGAGTAACTTGAAAATGCCATCGAGTACGTCGTCAAACCCTTTTTCCAAACACTTGTGGAATATACCCGTGTACCACGGCAAATGGTTTGCACAACAGGTGTTCCGCAGTTCATATCTACCAATGAAAGGCGGCAAGAGGCACCAGTAGTTTGAATGTGCAAGCGTTCCGAAAAAAAGTAGCAGTGGCAGAGTTCTTTTGAGAGATCAAAAAAAAATTGGCCCCGTATCTCCATGTTAATTTGCAAATGCCATTGAAAGACGATAGTCTTGCATGTGGAGAGAGTGAACAAAACATTTATTTGATGTTCTGCGCAAGAAAGTCGGTGAATGGTATTCTGGAGGCGCTGCGTTAGAGTGCCTCGAACGTGCAGCGGAGGCAAACGAGCGCATCAAGTCATGTCACACGTGAGGCATGAGTGCCATCTGGCAATTTTTTTAGAAAACGTTGCGCCTTCGAGACGGGCATGCGCGCCCGTCTCAGAGGACATAAAGTGTAGAACGCATGGCGACGAGAAAGTGCCACCACCGCCACGTTTTAGCAAAGCGTTGAAAATACTCACCCGTTCGTGCAAGCGTTGCATGGTAAGCGCAGCGTGCTAAGCGGTACGGTCCTTAATATTACCTATGTATGCCTTTTTCGTTAAAAGACGCACATGCGGAATATATACGTGTTGTCATGGTGCCTCGGATATGCGCAACAATTGCTTTTTAATCGGCACTCGTGCAAGTATGAACGCTGAATTTCGAGCAACATTGGTGGGCGCTGCAGATGAGGTCAGCCGTTTGGGGTATCGGCTGGTGCCGTTTAAAGTGCCGGTATCGTTAAAGAGGGACAAACAGACAAATGTACAGACAGACCAAAACTTTTGCGTCAAAGGTCCCCAAGAAAGACTATCGTCTTTAAAATAATAGGGTCGTAGCAGGAATCGAACTGCAGCATTGTGCGTGGCAATCAAGTATTCCACTACAGAGCCATGCTATGTCTACGAACTGCTATTAAAAAAAGGCGTTATGAAGGCAGAGTGTTGAAACATTAATTGTGGGTGCCGTGGTGGCGACCTAAGTTATCTATAAACAAAATATGTGTGCGGCTGTGATACATAAGTCACTTCGGGTTAATGTCAGCTGTAGTTAGGCGTCAATTCAAGTTGGTAAACGTGGCACCATCTAGGGCTACCACCTTAAGAGGCATAAGCGTTACGTATCAACTTAGCGCTTATAAGTATACCGTCTGATGGCGCGAGCACATCGTGATCGCGGTGGAGTTGCCAATTGTACAATTGTACTTATAGTAAGTGTATCTGGCCCTATTTTTTGGCTTAGTCGCTTGTACAGTTTTGAGTCAGTTCTCACTGTTTACTGGGTGATTACTTGCATATTTAGCAGATATAGTTATTTTAGTGACCATACCGTTCACTATTACATGTTTGTCATTCATGATTTGCATGTTCGTCGATGACCTATTTCGAGTAAAGTGTAAAGAGTGTGCGGTGTTCCCAATCAAGGGGGACAAGAGTTCATTGCAGTGCCCCGCGCCACGTCCTAAGCAAGGAGTGAAGTACATTTCGTCCCCACCCCCTTTTTCCAGGCGACTGGAAGTAGCAACGCGTGCACAAAGGCACTCGTCCGCCGTGCGAACACCTCTGGTTGCTTGTTGAAGTCAAATGTACGTCGGCGGAAGGTTAATCATGCGCTTGCAAATGGGCCTTCAACCGAATGTAGACTGCAATGCAGACGATGTTAAAAAGTACCCATGTGCTCTCGTTCACATTTGCGCATATTATCGCTCAACAAAACAAAGAAGTGATTTTGAAAAGCACATATTCGTAACTGAATAAATTTTAATCGTAACTATTAGTACGTTCAAGATTACAAAAATTCTCACGTTTACGGCTCACTTAAGCTCTTCGGAAAATTCTTTCGCCGATGTGTTCCTAGGAGGCGTTTCATTTATTCCGAAATGTTTTTCACGCCAAGTGCGATGGGTGGTGCATGAACACGTTAAGAAGGCGATGAATGACTTTTGTTTTTTATTCACTGTCCTCCTAAGATTATGTCAAGCAATGAAATGAGCAAGCCGTTTGGGATGCCTTGGTTCGGTGCCATTTTTCATTAGGCACGAAGTGTTCACAGACGCTTTCTCGGACTGGGTCATAAGCGCTTCTCTCTCTCTCCTCCGGAATTTGCCGCTTTTTAACAAGGGAAATAAAATCTATTGACTCTGTCAGGCAACCACATGATTATGCTCGTTATCTTCAGGCACGAGGATACACGGTTTTTAAAGATTGACGCAATGGCAGTGATGCAGCGAAGCAGTGGGAGTGACTGGGCCACGAACTGATCCGGGCATCACGTGTGCTAAGTAGACACCCCTCAAGTAGTACCATAACTGTAGGCAAAGCGGCAAGCAACGCGTCAGTAGCGTGTAAACATTCGAACCACCGGTGTAATTTACTGCCGCGCCTACCAAAAAGATTCGCTTCGATCTAGTGCCGGAAAATTGGAGCCGAGTGGTTGCATTAAACAGCTAGTCTTCGCGAGTAAAAAAGCATGGGTGTCATGTGGTCATGCTGCGAGTGTCCGGAAGACCACTGCGAAAGCAGCGAGCTCTACGGCGTGATGGCACGACAAGAGGTGCTGCCCAACTACCTGTCTTCTTCCATCGACAGTATGGCCCTCCTTCCGCAGCTCGGACGACCACCTCCACGAAGGAGGCCCAGGCGGGCATCTGGTGATTCGAGCCCCAGTGAATCCCACTCAACGCTGACACCTGAACAATCTGGAGCTTCGAGCCCGAGTGAGTCCCAGTCGCCGGCGAGACCCGGCCAGTCCGGAGCTGCGAGCCCGAGCGGGATACACTCGCCAGTGAGACCTGAACAAGCGCGCAGGTCACCGCAGCGAACGTCTCCGCAGCGAACGTCTCCGCAGCGAACGTCTCCGCAGCGGACGTCGCCGCGGCGGCAGGTGCCGAGGCGGCTTCCACCTTCCGCCGCGATTCCGATCCCCAACCCGGAAGAGCCAGGGCCATCGCAGGCATCTGTTGCGGGATCACCGCAGCTCCACTCTCCGGTGAACCTGAGCCACTATTCCAAGACCGAGTTGATGCAGATGGCGCTTATGCGACGCATTGAGGTGTCACCAGAAGGTGCGACCTTTACCGAGCCGAGAATGGGGACCATATTCGAGGAATCCGCGGAAACTGAGCAGGTCCCTGTTGCCGAATGCCCGAGCAGCCAGGACGAGACGACCGGCAGTGGTCAGTACACCACTTTTCCAACGCTTGATGAAGAGACCAACTTGGATACCCCAGAAAAGGACTAAAGGCGTCAGTGGTTGCGGTGTATCTGCGTGTACTTGAGTCCGTAGATACTGTTAGGGTGAAGCCACTTTTACCCGACAAGGCCCTGTGCCTTGTCATATTCGTACCGCGGGACCATTGTTCTGAAATAGTGGTTAGGGTCACGAACCTATTAGTTTCCACACTGAATTCAAACTTTCTATGACGAGTGCAACAAGTGTGGAACTTACTATTTATTCAGTACTTCGCTAGCAGGAAACAACGATGTTGTGTGCTCATTGTAAAGGGGTATAAGTTAGCAAAGTGGTTTTTCTAGTTGTTTTGAATGTTTCAGTGTGCATATTGAGTGAAAATTAGCTTTCGCTTAAACGTAATCTGTATGTTGCTAGCGTTACACTCTCCAACGAATCGTAACAACTGAAGCTCAGGCCATGGGGATATACTGTTTTCATTGTTTTTCTGAAATGCATCACGATGGTTTCCTTACTTGCAAATTGAAACTCTTTGGAAGCTGTATTTGTACGACTTATTATGCAGCGGCGTTTTTAGTTGTTTCTTGTTTTGGCTCAACGTGCTCATGATTTTATTTGCTGTGGTTCCTTACATTTTGAACTCTATTGTTCAATTTGCATTTTGGACAGTTTGTTGATCACAGATTACCTGTACGGCGTAAGTGTTACATGTCTCAGGCTTTTATTATGACAACTCCACCTCGGATACCTAAGCCGCCTGGCGTATAAATAAAATTCAGTATAAGCAGAATAATATTATACATTGTTTTATAATTTTATTCTACGCGAGAGCATATATACTTTTCACGACTTTGGTCGCACTCTGTATATCATAATTCTTGGCACAAGACTTTCCTAAATTGCTTCACCAATAAACTGTTGATTATTCATAATCACTATTTTTTTTTCAACGTGCAAGTAAGGCGATGACGTCGCGAGGCCATTAACGCGCACAACAGAACGCAAACATAGCACGCTATATTTAGGTTATTTTTTGCGCATCTGTTCTACTTGAATGCTTCGAGGTGCCATCTGTCACAGCACCGGAGTATCGCGTGTCAAAGCTGACCTCAGTAACCAAAAACGGCGTTCTAGAAGCAATACACAAGAATGAGCTTGTAGGCCGCACTCGTTCAGCATGTAAGACGACACTGACTTTCCTAATTCGTTCTTTGTATACTGTGGTGTCCCGAAAGAAAAATAGCTCGAGCAGTCTTGTACTCCTTTGAAAAGCCTGCGAGGTGGATTAAAATGAAGTGAAACCCAGGGACTCAAAGTTTTTGAACAGGAGGAAAAGATAAGACTGCCCACGGTCTAATTCAGGCTTTTCGCAATGATAGAAGTGGTAGTGATTGTACTATCACTCTGATACTGCTGTTTGTAAAATAGAGAACCTTTTCATAAACAAAATGATAAAAGAGCTGGTTTAATGTACTATATTACTTTTGCGGTTGGTTGTGCGCATGTTTGGTGCCTCGTTTGTAGCTTTTATTTTGTCGGCGCTATATAATCACTTTCGTAAGATGTGAATAAACAATCGGATGTTTCCATAGTTTTCATCTCTCGTTATTGCACGCTGTGTTTTTCTGGTGCAATGTCTATTTTTGTTCAATTCATTTCCTGATGTAGCACAGAAGAAAGCAGCCTACAGTGAAACTGACAATGAGGGGCGTGCTCATAAAAAAAGTCAGTTCGTTTCTTTATGTCATTACACGCATGCATGCTCCACATTTGTGGTGTAGAATATTACACACATGTATATCACGATCCCTTGACTCATCACTAGAATGCAGTGCATAATAGCGACCTTGAATGCCCTTCCAGTTCATTTAGTAGGGGAGCTCACAAAAATGCAACCGATTCTCCATAACATCCGTTCAGTAACACTGATAGCCAGTCATGAACCCAATCATACCTCAATGTTTATCACATAGGGAAATGTGCAAAAAATTAACTAGGTTTCAGTATACCTACTCGTGAAACTCATTCCTTGACTACCTTCGTAGTAAGCTTAAGCATGTCGGAGCTATCACGGAAAAGATCCAGCCCTGACAGCGTTAAGTTTTCGAACTTGAGTTTTGTTTTTATCGTGCTGCACCCGCCGCGCGGCCCAATCCAACTTCTTCCTTGACGAGCGGCGCCTTGAGGCGCTACAAGCAGTTTACAGTGCCACAGGCAGGGCTTGTTCAAGACTGAACAAAAAGTGCCGCCATATCCACGAAGTGAATGATGATGAGTGGGCGAAGCTCTGGAGGAAAACCTGGTAACCATGAATCTTCCGTACATTTTGCCTACTCGATTTTATTACAATGCTCCCCTAGCGTACGTCGCCGCACTAAATCGAACGATTGCCTTCCACCATGACACGTGCCATAAGTGACATCATTCCTATTTATAACATCTCGCATCTTTCATCATCAACTACAAGTACCGCCATCTAGTTTATAACATCTGCATCTTTTCACCATCAGTTACAAGTCCCGCCATCTAGTGAGCACTGAAAGAACTAAACGAGAGGTGGCTCCATGGATGGATGGATGCTATGAGCGTCCCCTTTATAACGGGGTGGTGACAAGTATGCCACAGGCTCGACAAAAAAAAAAACCTTGTTTCTTTTTTATGTTGGCCTAATGCCTCTACTTCGATAAATTCTATCTTAATGGAAAAAAGGTAAACTTTCAGCTTAAGTTCTCTGCCAATTTACGGCACACTGTCCATATTTTATTTTTCCATATTTATTTTTGTCCTTTCACTCTGATTTTCTGCCACCAATACTCTAACCGTCTCTTACTTATTTCAATCGCGGGTGTGTTCAGCTTTCCATTGTTGTCCCTAAAACCCAAGGCTTCCTGTAGGCTCGTGCCCAAACTTACACCTGGGTGGATATCTCCACATTCAATCAGAACATGCTCCGCCGTTTCCTTATCTTTCCGCAGCATGTGCATTGTTTCTTCTTCTTTACTGAATCTTGCTTTATAACTACGCGTTCTAAGGCAACCCGATCTCGCTTCAAACAGTAAAGCGCTTCCCCTTGAATTATCGTAAAATGCCTCCCTCCTTATTTCATTTTGCCCTTTCGGTAGTTACTCAAAGCCGGTTTTTTCTCCATAGCTGCCATCCAGTAAATATTCTCCGCCTCCCTGACTTTTCCCTTAACGCTCTTTGTTGACATATGGCTCACAATACCAGCCGTATTTACTAGTGAGTCTTCTAGTTCTTTTTCTCCACTGTGTGTCCACGCTCTTCCTATACAAATAACGGAACACCTTCTCTGCCCATCTACTCTCCTTCATATTTCTTAGCCTTTCTTCGAACCTTATTTTGCTCTGCGCTTCCCTCGCCTCAAAACCTGCCCACCCCATATCGCCCTTTACAGCCTCGTTTGTCGTCTTCCCGTGAGCACCCAACGCGAGGCGTCCCACAGTCCTTTGATTTACATCCATTCCCGATTGCACCTCTGCCCTCATGCACACCACTGAGTTCCCAAAAGTAAGCCCTGGAACCATTACACCCTTCACAGACCTCGAAGCACCTCATACCTATGTATCCCCACAACGCTCTGTGCTTCATTATTGCCGCATTCCTCTTTCCTTTTGCTGCCGAGGCTTTTTCTGTACCTCCATGTATCTATCACTCTCATTTACCCATACTCCAAGGTACTTGTATTCACTTACCCTCGGTATTTCTTGGCCTTGTATGGACACCGTCTGATCACAGGGATCATTGAATACCATCAACCACACTTCGTTACACTGAATCCTAGTCCAAGAGCTTCACCTTCCCCTTCCGCATATATTCGCCAGCTGCTGTATATCATCTCGACTGTCCGCAAATAAGACGATATCGTCCGCATAAAATAAACCTGGAAGCTTCTGCTCAATCATCATGCCGCCCTGTTTGTGTGACAGATTAAAACCAATGTTGCTACCTTCTAGCGCTTTTTCCATACTCACCATGTACAGCATGAATAACAGTGGGGACAAAGGCAGCCCTGTCTCAGACCCCTGCTAACCTTAACGTTCTCTTTGCTACGCATTCCTTCCCACTCTATGCAAACTGTATTTTCTCGGTATATCTCCCTCAAAAGCTGTATACAGTCTCGCCCATGCCCATTCCTTTCAATATATCCCACAAAAGTTCCTGATTACCGTTGTCGTATGCCCCAGTGATGTCTAGAAAAGCCACGTACAAGGGCCTATTCTCTATTTTAGATATTTCTATACACTGAGTGAGAACAAACAGGTTATCGTCTAACCGCCTGTCGACTCGAAATCCGTTCTGAAGTTCTCCCAAAATATCGTTATGTTCGGCCCATGTTTCTATTTTCATTTTTACTGCTTGCATCGCCAACCTGTATAGTACCGATGTAATGTTAGTGGTCTATACGAGCGAATCTTGTCCTTTTCTCCCTTGCCTTTATAGATTAAGTTCATTCTACTTTGTCGCCAACTGTCCGGTATTTGTCCGTCCTTTAAGCTTTTTTCTACTGCTTTTAACAATGCTTCTTTAGTGTTATGTCCTAGTTCGTTAATGAGGCTAACGGGAATCCCATCTAAACCCGCGGCAGTGCGCTTTGGAATTTTTCCTTCGCCTTTTTCCAGTTGAAATTATCTAGTACTAGCTCTTCCTCTGTTGCTTTCTCCGCCACACTTTACTCACCGGGGAGATCCCCTGGACGCTCTTTTGAAACGAATCGGCTGTTACCTTTTGGATGTAACCTAGCGCTTTGTACCCTTCCAATTGATTTCCTCCTTCATCTAGAATATGTTGTTGCGTTGTGACAGACTTCCTACCTAGCGCCTTTATGTGGCTCCAAAAAATCCTAGGCGCGGCCTCCTTTTTTTCGTGTATCTCTGTCATCCAGCGTTCACTTTCACCTTTAATTTTTGCCTCTACCAATTTCTGTACAGGGATTTTTCTCCAAATATATTTCCCATATTTTTTGACTTCGTCCTGCGGCCGCTTCTCCTTTTTTGCCTTTCTATGCTCCCGTGATGCTTCGCGTCGCTTCT